AGATTTTAAAAGCCTAGGAAACCTGACACAAGGTCACTATGAGTTGGTACCAACTCAATGGCAATTAACAACAACAATTCTTGGTTTGCTTTAATAAAACAAGTTGAAACCCATATACTTGAAAGCATGTCACTACCATAAGTGTACAAATAAAGACAATGAATGAAAAAGAGTTTTAGTCAAAATACTATCACCTCGAGCAGCTGTGGACTTTAGACTCATGGAAAGAGAAAGGCTGTGTGCTGGCAGCCGGGAGGCAGGCTTACAGAATGTGCCCCTTGGTTGTTTAAATAATTATATATTCCTGAATGCTTTTGTGTACATTCAAAGAAATACACACACACAGAGGGAACAGAAGCAAATACTGTTTAATGATGATGCATGGAGGGGGTTGTAATCATTGCAATGAATGAAATACAATAGGGTGAGTGTAAACCAAGGTTCTTCCATGTAAACTATCAATCACTCAATGCACAATCAAAACTTTAAAAAGGAAAAAAATATTATCACCACCACCAAACTCTTAACCTGAGACCTTCCACACCTTGTTAAAAGGGAAATTAGTGTTAAAGACAATATGTCACCTCCTTGAGGCTTTGTGCTTAATAATAACATGAGTAAAGGAATAATGAAATGGATAGAACTTTCTGAGTATTTGATTGTGGCAAATATTGAGGGTTGACTCATTCAACCCCCATTTTCAAGCCCTATTTTTCTAACCATCCTCTGTTATGGAAGTTGTAAAAGTAAGCCCAACTTCCCAGCCTCCCTTGCAGCTAGGGGTATACATATGACCCAGTTCTGGTTGGTAAGACATAAGCAAAAGTTTCCCTTTATCCTGCTTGGAATGTAGTTTGACATCTGGAGTTACAGTAGACTTTTTGTGAGCATGAGTAGACAAACATGAGGATTAAAGTCCATATTCTAAGGCTGGAAAATGAAACAATGTTAAACAGTTGCCTTAGTCCCACTTACCTACTGACTTTTTGCTGTGTGGTTAATGTTTCTGCTGTTTCTTACCAAGAGAATCTTAACTGGCTCCATGTTTTAAATTCCAGAGATGTGAAGCCTGAAATCAGTTTGATACCACTGGTGGTATGAGTTTGATACTTTGAAAGGCCCTCCTGTAAGATTTTGTTGTTGTTGTTAAGTGCCATCAAGTTGGTTCCAACTCATAATGCCCCTGTATAGGGTTTCTAAGGAGTAGCTGATAAGCTTGAACCACCAACCTTGTAGTTCAAAGTGACCTATAAGACAGCCTCCTGATTTATTTTGCTAGAGTTATTTTCCTTCTGTGAAATCTTGAAATCACATAACAACACAACTCATGACTGTCCAGTAAGCTGGGTAGGATCAGGAATTTGTAGGTGAGGGAAAGGGTCTAGGGAGACCTAGGGTCAGGAGACCTGCATTCTAGATGGCTGTGTGGCCTTTGCAAAATACATAGTCTCTCTGAACTTCATTATGTTCATCTGTAAAAAGTTGTGAAAATTACATGTAGTCATGTATATGGAAATATCTAACACATACTAGTAGGAGCTCTGGTAGCGTAGTGGTTACGAATCGGGCTGTGAACCTTAAGGTGAGCGGTTTGAAACTACCAGCCGCTCCGCGGGAGAAAGATGAGGCTTTCTACTCCCATAAAGATTTACACCCTTGGAAACCCTGTACAGGGTCGCTATGGGTCGGAACCGACTCGATGGCACTTAACAACAACAACAACACATACTAAGTAAATTTGTGTTTCATTAAACCTAAGACACCATCAATTGTAATATGTTCTATTTTTTCTATATGCCAAAATGACAAAATCCTGCTGGGGGAGGTTTTTAATTGTGGATTCAGGGGCCCCACATTAGATTTATTGAATTTGACTCTCATGGGCAGAAGATCAGGGATTAGTATGTTTTAAATTTCCCAGATCATTCTGATAGCTTGACAAATCAGAAGCCAAGGCAATGTGCTGAACAATTCAATACTTAATTCTAGGCTACAATCTGGTGTTATTTCTCAGTTTCTTAGATATTCTCTAGAAAACCTGGATCTCAGATTTTGCCAGCATAAACCCATTGCCCAAATTCTTTACATTTCCAACTCACTCATGGAATTCCAGAAACTCTCAGTTCAGGAACTGCATATAATAAATACCTTGGTAGAATATGTAAACCAAGACCATTCTAATAGTAGGAATGTGGTAGCATTTACTTTCTTCCTAAGTAGCCTTCTCATCCTTTCCTCTGACTAGAACCAGAGGATCCTGAGTCCCCTTCTAATATTCTGCACATCTATGATTTTGATATACTATTAATTCCTCACATGTATACTTTTTGAAAAGCTTTTCAGAAATTCACTTAATCCTTAAAAAAAAAAAAAAAAATGTTTGCCTAAATATCTATGGTTGAATGTCAAGTAATGGTAGCAATATAATGACCACAGAATAGAGCAAATGCACTCTGGCTTCCTTTACTCCCTTTATAGGTCATTAGCAATCCACCTGACCACCTTCACTGCAAGACTGTGTCTTCACACTCACATTTATATATGCTCCCTGATTTCACTAGAGTATAATTCCCTGATTTTACCGGTAAACAAATGGATGCTTCTCCCCTTGTCCTTCATCTGAGAAAGTAGCTGACTTGCCCAAGGTCACATACAAGTTAGCCTACAGATGTTGAGCCCAGTTCTCCTACTACCAGGCCAATGTCTCTTACACCCCTGCCACCCACCATGACCTGTTAATGACACCTCAGGGAGCTTTTATCTAAAGTCCAGGATCACAGGATCATAGCCCAACTCATTGGGAAACTGCCCTGAATCCCACCCAGATCGTTCACTGAACCACAAAGTTCCTTTTCTCAGACAGATTTCATCTGTGCTTTGGCTAGCTCCCAGGGAAGCACAAATCAGATCTGCTGTATATTGGCAGAACATTGGCTTAGAACAGATTTCAAATGCCTCCCTTGAAAAAAACATGGCCAGGAAATTATGCCATGAGGTCCAATAGCTCTGTGACACTTTTTAAGGAGAAGCTGATGGCTTTCCCTTCCAAGATCTTCCCTTCGTGCCCAGAACAAGTGGCTGCATTTCCTGTATGTGCCCCAAATTAGGAAAGGGCAGGCTCAGCTGTGGTGAGAAGTGAGTGAGTGTCTTTAATGGGCAGGGCCCTCTACACAGCACAGTGAGCATTTTGCCAAGTTCCTTCTCCAGTTTTAAAACTCTTGTGTATTCCAAGAGAAATGTAGTCCATGTGTTTCTGATTCATTTACACTTAAATCATTAAAATGTTGTTTTGTGAAGTTATTTGATGTCTGAGGAGCCTGTAAGTCTTCTTAATAGAACTTGTAAAGGCTTTTTTTTTTTTTTTTTCTTTCCATTCTACTTGAAACAGAGAGCAAGTTTGGCTAAAACAGTTCTAGAGTTCAAACATACTCTCTCATCTCATATACTTGCATCCGCATTATCGGCCGCAGTCTCTAAACAATGCTAGACTTGGCAAGGCCTACATCCGAAAGTGTTAAAATAGAGAAGCTGGAGGAAAAACAAAGTGAAGAGGATTCCAGGGGGATTCAAACCACTCCTCCCAAAAATATGTGCCAAAGAGGAATTATGTGAGGGTGGAGCAAGTGCATACATTTGTCCTCTTGGTTAGAGAGGGTGGAAGCACTCACTCACATACCCCAATGGACACTTCCACAGCCATAATCTCAATTTAGCCCCATTGCAACCTGCACTTTCCAGGTGAAGAAACAAGAGCAGAGATATGAAGTATAGTGCTCAAAATGCAAAGCTGGTTTTGGTAGAAAGATGACAGTTAAATTCTGACTGTGAATCTAATGCTCTTTTCAATTATGCCTGAAATCGATTTCTCTGTGAATGTTGACTGTGTGTGTGTTCAAAATGTCATGTGCCTTAAAATATATTAGTGAGAGAGGCACTGTAAATATAGTGGTAAGACTCTTTATTGATTCAAATTCTTACTCCATCACTTTCTATCTATGTGACCTTGAGTAAATTACTTAATCTGGTGGGCAGTTCCCTCATCTGTAAAACAGGGATAATGTAACTAAATATCCATACAAAGTATAAAGATAATTAAGTTAACATGGTAAAGTGCTTAGAACAATGCCTGACACTTGGTGCCCAGTAAATGTTAGTGGTAATGTTGTTGTTGTTAAGTGCCATTGAGTCAGTTCCAACTCATAGCATCCCTGTATAGGGTTTTCAGGGAGTGACTGGTGAGTTTGAACTACCATCCTTGCTGTTCAAATTGACCTTGCGGTCCATTGCTTATCCTATAGTGCCACACTAGGACTGCAAATAGTAGCAATAGTTGGTGAGAACAGTAATAAACAGGTACTTTTTGGCAAGTTGTATAGCTGTAGACGTCTCTGAGTTTCCATTCCCTCATTTGCAAAGTGAATATAACAATATGACCCTCATAATTTTGTGCTGGTTTGAGATGGTGCTTGAGCCTAGCACACCTCTTTCTACGTATTCACTGTTCAGTGTTCAGTGTTAATGTTAGTTGGAGGATGGGGTGTTAATATTTATATTATTCAACTCAGCTTAGACACAGTGTTGCATTTCTCCATAAAACTTGTGTATAGGTGTGCTTACCAGTCTAGGTCTTTTTGTAGCCTTAGGGTATAGGACTTTCTTACTGTAAAGAATGTCTCTGGGCTGAAGTAGATCTTGGGATGTAGAAGAGTTAGTATACATCACTCCAAATGTTGTTCATTACTGAGGAAGCTCTAGTCAAGAAAAAGACTTAGTGCATCCTCACATTCTGAGCGTCTGTCTCCGTTCCCAGGAAAACATGCAGTTGTTTCTTTGCAAAATTGATGGGGTTTTTTCTCTCTGTGGAAATGTTAGAATTACCTTGTTAGTAGGTTGTTTCAGTTTAATTGATGTCCTGAAGAAGAGCCGAAAATTATAGCCCTCTGGCAAGGGATACTAAAGAAAAATTAGACTCTGTCCCCCGCCACCCCCTACACACACTCACACACAGACAGTGATACAAATACCAATTTGAGCTTCTCAGTTATTTTCGCTTAAGGGCTGGAGCCAGCCACACGGGATAAAGGAAGGAACTAAAGGAGCAAATCTTTTAAGGGAGAAGACAGATTCCGTTCTGTCAGGTTCTTCTGAGTGTGTGTAAGAGCCAGTCAGAGGAGAGAGAGAGGAGAGGAAAGGCTAGAGGGAGAGAGGGGGAGAGGGGATCTGTTGCAGGCAGGGGAAGGCGTGACCTGAATGGAGAATGCCAGCCAATTCCAGAGACACACAGGGACCTCAGAACAAAGATAAGGCATCGCTGACAGCACACCGGGGGGACGAGCTCACAGACAAGTCAGGCCAAGGGGGACTGACAGAGGCCAGGCAACCAAGAACAAGCAAGGCAGAAAATGAGGTGAGTGACAAGACGGGACAGAGTATGGGTGTCCTTTCAGGGGCCAAGTGTTAAATAGCCCAAGAGAGTCTGACCTTGTCTCTCTGGGCAAACTCACCTTTGTGTCCTGTGGGTGGTGGTGAGGGGGCTTCTCATCAACTCATGGGGATTTGAGAAGGCAGATTTGGGCTGGGTATCTTCCCTGGGGCTCCGGAGACATGCAACTTGAACAGGCAGACTGTGCAAATCCTACCCCTTACCGCTGAGGCTCAGATTTCACTCTGCCCAGCATAGGGTGCTGCCTGCTGGAGAATGGGGAGTCCCCTCCTATTGCCTACAGAGCGGATTTTCCATTTTCCTTCTCTGGAAAGGGCCTCAATTTATCTATCTCAACACTTTGTAAGTTAGATATGTGTTTGTGTGTTTATTTGTTCTGACCGGATAAGACACCAGCTTCCCACAGCTTGGCTCTGTGGTTTCTTAAACCTTCTGAAGTTTGCCAGTTAAAACCTCAGTTTAGAAAACTAAAACCTATCCCCATTGTATAGCTCTTTATAAATTTCTGCATTTCTCTCTGAAATCAGAGGCAGCTGGTGGGATGAATCAGGATATGAACTGCACCAAATGGTTCTTAAAGGGACACCACAGATACGAATAAACAAAGAGGATCCTTTGGCATTCAGACACCTAGGACTTAAATTATAATTGGTTTTAAGCTCTTCAGTCTTTCCTACTTCAAAGCCTACATTTAGAATGACTTGATTGTTCTTACCAGACAGTCCTTATAAGTTTTCCTCTGAGTCTCAAAATCTAACCACCCTAGTTATTTTTATGACTTTTAAGTGTTAACGCTATTTAAAACACACACAAAAAAAGAAGAAAGCCACTCTGCAGATGTGTTAAGTCTCTAAACACCTCTTTTTCCATTAATTTTTCTGTTCAGCCAGGAGAGCATTTATATTTGTTTCTCTTCTGCAAAGTCAACTAGCAACTTTGCTGTGTATGGTGGAAATGAGGGACTCCATACTGTATTAACTCTTTGATCTCATGTTACATGTAATTCAGAAGAGTAATAAGGTGGCACTATGGGATCAGCAGGAACCCTGGTGTTGTGCTGTGGGTTAATGCACCAGACTGCAAAGCCATTTGAACTGCAAGGTCGGTGGTTCAAGCTCACCAGCCGTTCCTTGGAAACTCTATACAGAGTTGCTATGGGTTGGAACCGACTCGATGACACTTCACAACAACATAGGATCAACACTGGAATGCTAACCACAAAGTCAGCAGGTCAAACCCACCAGTTGTTCCTCAGAAACCCTATAGAAGGTCACTATGAGTCAGAACTGACTCAATGGCACTTAACAGGAACAGCAGAAAAGGTTAATTCCATCATCTATCCTTCTTAAAACCATTACAATTTCAGCCTTGCTGTGAGTTGGAATTGACTCAATGGCAGTGGATATGGTTTGTTTTATCCAGCTTCATTGTCCTTTCCCCTAAAGCAGATGGGGCTTAGGCCCACTGGATTGCTAACCTCAAGGTCAGTGGTCAAACCAGTCACTCCTCAAAAATGCTATACAGGTCACTATGAGTCAGAACCAACTAGACAGCATATAACAACAACAGCAACATGGAATGAGGAGTCCTGATGTGACACTGTAGGATAAGTACTGGACTGCTAACCACAAAGTTGGTGGTTCAAACCTGCCAGCCACTCCTCAGAAACCCTATACAGAATCACTATGAGTTGGAACCAACTCAATGACACTTAACAGCAGCAACAACATCATCATGGAATGATAATCTGGCTGATCTTTGCCTAACTGTCCTCCATCCAAATCCTTCCCTTCTCATTTGTCCCAGTCTGAATAACAGCTATATATCTTTGCATGTGCTCATCCTCAACCTGAAGCATTCGACCTCTTTTTTTTCACTTAGACATCACCTAGAGGTCCCAGTTCAAACATAATCTTCCCCTCTCTGGTCACCATGCTCAGGGCAAGCATATCCTCCTTTGTGCTGTCTCTTATTGTCATTGTAAGGATCCCTGGTAGCACTGTGGGCTAAGCATTGGACTGCTAACCACAAGGTCAGTGGTGAAAACTCCCCAGCCACTCCATGGGAGAAAGATAAGGTGATCTGCTTCTGTAAAGATTTACAGTCTCAGAAACCCTAAGGAGCAGTTCTACCCAGTCCTATGTAAGAGCACTTATGAATAGTAATCAACTCATTTCTTGTCATTGTAATGTCTACTTGTTTAAATGTCTCTCTCCTCTTAAAAGAATGAGACTAGTGCAATATCTGTGTCTTATTCATCTTCATATGCTCAGCACTTGGCATAATAAATGTTGGCTGAATTGAATTCAATTGCTAAAAGCAAAACAATGCTAGGAAGTGCTCCATTAGAAAAGTCTCTAAATGGCCTTAGAGCACATTAGAGTTTGTAAAGCACTTCCATGGGTACTTTTTCATCTGCTCATCATATTTCAGATGAAGTAAGATGTTATAGATAAGTAAGGGTAAAAATAGCTAAGCAAATTACCCAAAGCTACATTGAGGAGCTTGAAGTCTAGACTCAGACTAGGAACTTATGGCTCCAGGATGTTTTTCTAATATCTTCCACCAGATTGTTAATCAAGGACATTATTGTATGTCATTCATTCCAGAGACATTCAATGCTGATTGTATATTAGAATCAACCTCAACCCACCAATTAAAAAGCAGACCCTTGGGGAGAGGTTCTGACATTAACATTTTTTTTTAAATATCTAAATAAAGCCATGGGTTTGATAAGTTAATTTTCACAGATTAATTGCTTTGCCCAGATATCTGGGTATATAGACATTAATCCAGCTTCCTCTGTGAGCTTTTGTTATCCCCTTCTATTAAAGTTAAATTCCCATATGGTATTGGACATAACAAGTCATCTCATGGGACCTGATTTTATCATCTGCCAAATAAGGTGCTGTCTAAGAGATCTATACAGTTCCTTTCAACTTTAATACTCAAAGGCTTTGTGTCTGGGTGTTGTGTAGGTTGAAGTTAGGAAAGTAGATGAAGGATATAAGAAGCACTCTTCATTCCACGGTCATAGACATATGTAGGCATTTTTTATGTGTTCCTACTATCCTTTTCTTACAGTAGACTTTATGAAATCACCATCCTTTTATATTACTTTTGACATTTCAAGCAAATGTAGCTAAACTTCTGATGAGCAGCTAGCAGGTGTTGTAAATTTTACAGCCAGAGTCTAGTGGATAAGAAGCCAAAAATATTTAGTGAATATGATGAGGAATGAAAGCTGCCATTTACATTCTTCAATCTGCAGCCTAAAGAATGAAAGCAAGTAAGCATATGCTCAAGCCTATAGTGTGCATGGAATTATTTGTTTAAAATGTTTAAATGATTTTGAGATACAGGACTTCCTCCCACGCTGACCAGTTTTCTGTCGCACAAGACAACAGGCTTAAGGCACCCGGCTTCTGGGGATAAAATGGTGCTGTCGGTCTCCAGCCCTTGACAGTACTGGCCTGAGGAGGCTCGGCATCTCCTCAAAGTGGTCTGGAAAAAGCAGGCCTGGAGAAAGTTGACCTTTCAGCCTTGCATAATCTGGGTGTCTCTATTGCAGGGAAGTCCAGTTTGGAAACCAAAGCTCATTCCTAGCCCTTGCTTTTCGGGAAGCAGCATGATGGACTAATCATCACTAATGTTTGCCTAGGGCTGGACAGCTAACAAAGGAATTTCCATGCCTCCTTTACCCTGAGAGTAGCCCTGTGGCGAGTCACTATCATCACCACTTTATACATAGGACTTGGTGTGACTTCCCCAATGTGGGTTAGGTAAATCAAGCAAAACTTTGGGTGTGCATCAGGGTTCCCTCTTCCCAGGCAGGACTGAGCCACAACTCACAGTCTTGATAACATCACTCCTTTTCTTCACTTTCTGACACAGACTGTCAAACCTGTCCCCTGCAAGCTCGACTTTGTAGACTCAGCTTTCCTGCAAGCTCCTGAGATAACGTGGACTTATGCTTTCCCTTCTCTCTGCCTCTGAGGCCCTCCTTCCACAGATTAACTTTTTAAAAAATATTGACACTGGCTATTGGAGTTCTGTGGGTTAATGCGCTGGAATGCCAAGTTGGTTTGAACTGTAAAATAGGAGGTTCAAGCTCACCAGTTGCTCCTCGGAAATCTATACAGGGTCGCTATGGGTTGGGATGGACTCAATGGCACTTAATGACAGACAACGACATTGGACTAAAATATTTTGGTTTTTCAATAGAATCTCATTTGCTGTTGTTGGAGGGATATTGGAAAATATAAAGTATTCTCTTTTTATTGAAAAAATCCCCCACAATTCTAGATAAATTTAAATATTTTACATATACAAACTAAAAGGAGCTCTGGTAGCGTAGTGGTTATGAATAGGGATGCAAACCGCAAGGTCAGCAGTTCGAAACTACCAGCAGCTCCGCGGGAGAAAGATGAGGCGTTCTGCTCCCATAAAGATTTACAGCCTCGGAAACCCTGTATAGGGTCGCTATGAGTCGGAACTGACTCCACGGCACACAGCCACCATACAAAATAAAATTTAAAACACTTATAATTCCACTTCCAGTAATAACCATTGTTAATGGGTTGGTGTATATCACTCTAGACCAATGAAGAGCATTGGTGAAGTGTTCAGCTGCTAACCAACAGGTTGGTGGTTCAAAGCCACCCAGTGGCTCCACAACAGAAAGACCTAGTGAACTGTTTCCATAAAGATTCAGGCAAGAAAATTCTATGAGAGAAAAACAGAACAGTATTTCATATTCTCATGGAATCCAGCTTTTCTGGTGCCATGAAGGCCGGATGAATCCTAAAAGTTTTGTTCTGAGATCATCTTTGAACCTTAAATCAAAAATATCTCCTGGAGTTTTCTTAAAATCAAATAATAGCTAGGCTTAACTACTAAAGAATGTCTGTCTTGAGCATAGTACTCTTTAGAGATTTACCTATATGGTAATCAGATTGGAGACAGCAACTGGAAAAAACAGATGAGAAGCTTAGAAGGCAGTGAGTTTTTGTTAATCATGGAGGAGCAACTGGAAATAGGAAGATGAGGATGGTTTTACAACTTGAAGAATGTAATCAATGTCACTGAATTGTACATTTAGAAACTGTTCAATTGGTGTATGCTCTGATGTGCATATTCTCAAAAAATAATAACAATTTAAAATAAATCATGAAAAATGAAAAAAAGAACAGTCCAAGGTAGTATGAAGTGCTTTGGTTTTAGGGTGTGGGCTATAGGGTGATGTGAGTCCTCTCTGAATCATTTCCCTCTCTGTTAGATGGGGATCTTTATCCCTGTCTCAACAATTTGTTCAACCAGTTGTTGTGAGGCCAAATCATGGCAACCCCATGTGTGTAGAATCATGGTTTTTCTTAGGATTTTAAGGCTGTGACCTTTCAGAAGCACATCCCAGACCTGTCTCTGGGTGGGTGAGAACTGTCAAACTTCAGGATTCTTCTGAGCGGCATCTCTGGATGGGTTTAAACTGCCAACCTTTGACTCTGGATGGGTTTAAACTGCCAACCTTTGAGATTGTTCTGAAGCACCTCTGTGTGGGTTTAAACCACCAACCTTGAAAGTATTAGTAGAGTACTTGAACCAAAAGGCCGATGGTTCAAACTCACCAGCCACTCCTCAGAAACCTATATAGGGTTGCTATGAGTTGGAGCCAACTTGATGGTACTTAAAAACAACAACAGAGCGTTGAACTATTTGCCCCACCAGGAACTCTTCAGCAGTTAAGAAGGCAGAATTCTTGTCTATTTTGTTCATTGCTATATCTCTACACCTACTCAGTGCCTGACACAAAATGTTGTTGTTGCTGTTGTTAAGTGTCATCAAGTAGGTTCCAACCCATAGTGACCTTGTATAGGGTTTCCAAGGAGAGGCTGGTGAGCTTGAACAACTGATCTTGTGGTTCAAACCAACTTTGCTGACCAGAGCATTAGCCCACAGCACCACACCAGGACTCTCTCTATATATATGCTAAATATTTGGTGAATATATGGTATGGTTCCACTTTGAAACTATATAGACTTTGTGAGGTGCTGACCACTGTGATTTAAGATGCTATTTTATCTTTTTTAGCATATAGCAAGCTCACCTATTTACACCTTAAACTCACTGTTAAATTAGTGCACTGATCCACTGGTTACACTTCTAGAAATTATTCACACAGATAAGGTCACATAGGTACAAAATAACTTAGGGATAAGGTTATTCGTTACAACTTGCTTGGAAAAGGAAAGAATGGAAACAACCCTAAATGTGCATCACTACAGGATTTGATTCAGTGAAGTGGGATACATGTACATGATGGAATTCAAAAGAATGAATTCTTGGTTAATGACATTACCTATCTTGTAGATTTCTCCAAAATAGATAATGTCATTAACCAAGAAAAGCAAGAAGCCTAACAATGAGGATAGTAGGTCACCAATTATATGAAAGAAAGAAAAGATGAAAGAAAGAAAAGTGATATATTATTTATGTAAAAACGGATCTATAAAAGTAGGTTAAGAGTTAACCATATTAGAAAGTAAAACTCATTGGTTGGGAGATGGTGGTGGAGAGGAGAACTTTTACTGTCTTTCCACTTATTCCTTTGTCATTTTGAACCATGTGAGTAGATTACCAACTCAAAACTTAAACTAAAAAGGAAGAAAATTAGTTCATTTAGTACTTTTTTTTTTTTCTTCCACAAATTGCATGTTTAATCTCTCCTAATCCCAGCAGAACAGAAGTCCCATCATATCAATCCCAAACTGGTTTCTAGGAAGTAAAGGTAATGGGAAACTTGGTCAAGACAATTGATGCAAAAGGTTTCCAAAACCTGTGTACAAACTAATTTGTTACTGTTGTTGTTGTTAAGTGCCATTGAGTCAGTTCCAACTCATAGTGGCTGTGTATAGTGTTTCAAAGGAGCAGCTAGTGTGTTTGAACTAACAAACTTGTGGTTAGCAGTCCACTACTTATCCTACAGTACCACACTTGTAATTAGATGGAAAGCATAATGCACTGGCCAGATGCTTCAAAAATCAGTTTGAGTTGCAATGCAACTTTCATCTTTGAAACTGGACATTTGGAGAGGGAAAGAGTACAAGGGAGTGTAGTTAAAAATGCCTCCTTTTAGCTCCCTCTTTCAACACTGTTAACCAAAGACCAAGAGGGAAATGATTCCAACATTTCACCACATATATTTCTTCTGTGGTATCTCGAATTTACTTGATAAATTTAGATTTCTATCCAATGTCTCCTTCCCACCAAATGATTAGATGGGTATGTGCAAATAAGGTGTACAGGACTCCAATACTGGGGTTGGTTAATTTTGCCATCCCTTTAGGTTGAAAGGATCAACCCCAGTACCATCAAGAAAGAAGAACAGGAGCAGAGCATGAGATCTCTATCTAGAAAAGCAGAGACAGCAGAGGATGTGGGAGAGGCAGTGGTATAGAAAGTCAGAGCAACTGAGGACTTCTAAATCCATGGACCCAATCAAAGCTGAATGCTCATGGGCAGGAGACTGGCTTACAGAAAATGTCCTTTGGGCATTTACAGACTAGCTTTGTGACATTTGTCCAAGCACAGCAGAGGCCAAAGGACCACATGGCTAAGAGACTGAAAACAAAAATGATATATGCCTGCAATATAGCAGAGAAAAGTTGTTCCTGATTGGAAAACTGGGGCATTCTGAGTTCATTTTGATCCTAAATTGTCCCCTGTTCACTTCTCTAATAAACACAATAATCATGAGCATTGTTATGAATTCTGTGTGGCCACTGCAATGGATTATCGAACCCAGATGTGAAGCAGAGAGTGCTGTGGGAGGGATGGTTCGTGGCCAAATAGGCTGAAGAAGGTGGTAGGATGGAGGCATGTCTGGCCTCTGCTTCATAGGAAACTGCCTTGGTCTGGGTTTGAGTTTGAGTCTCCTTTTTCCTTTGTAAAACCAGAGGAAGTGAGACATGACCTCCACACTATTTTTGCATCTTTTAATGCAGTTTAGGACTCCTGGTACAGTGCTGTAGGACTGCAAACTACAAAGTCAGCAGTTCAAACCCACCAGCTGCTCCTCAGAAATCCTGTACAGGGCCACTATGGGTTGGAATCCACTCAGTAGCACTTAACAACAACAATACAGTTTAGGGAGTCTTGGTGTGACACTGCAGGGAAAAAGCACTAGACCACAAGGTTGGTTTGAACCACAAGGTCAGTGATTCAAACTCACTAGGCGCTCCTTGGAAATCCTATACAGGGTCCCTATGAGTCAACAACAACAATGCAGTTTAGAGGAATTCTGGTATGACACTGTAGGATAAGCACTAGACTGCTGATCGCAAGGTCAGAGGATCAATTCTATCTGCTGCTCCTCAAAAACCCAATACAGGGTCCCTATGAGTCAGAACGGACTCAATGGCACTTAACAACAACAACAATGCAGGTTTCTAGACTCCTAGGAGCCCTGATGAGTTATGTGTTGGGATGCTAAATTGTAACATCATCAATTCGAATCCACCAGCTGCTCCTCAGAAGAAAGATGAGGCTTTCTGCTTCATAGGAGGCAGAATAAATAAAATGTGGTGACTACTGAATATCATGTAAGAGGAAAGAATGATAAAGTTTCAGGCTGAAGGAAATGTCTGATCTCCAGACAGACCATTAATAGAAATTGGAAATGAAAGCAAGATCCTGTTAATGGAGAGTTTGCAATGTTTAAGTTCAAGGTCTCTAGTTCTTGCAAGAAGAGTGCTCTGTTAGATGTCTGGTGTATATACTAACCATTAGAGTTCTGACCAACTTCAATAACTCAGCCTCATTATTGCATCAGCCACATTTGGCCTATTCTGTGAGTTTTATTGAATTTTTGTGTCCCTTATGCAACTCTTTTAACAGTCCATGATCTCTGATTCCTAGAGCTGGAAATAATTTCCAGGTCTTTGACCCTTTTATTAAAACCCTTACCAAGAGAAAAAACAAAACAAAACAAAAAATTTGTTTTGCTCATTCTTTCTTTATTCAGACTTTATGTACATTGACTGATTTTGTGGTGAAGTATTTCATTCAATGTGTTTTCTTTAAGGTACCACAGATTTCATCACTGAGTATAACGAGTCTCATCCCAATATTAAAAACCAGTTTCCATAAAATTGATCCTGACTTACGTGACCCCATGTGTGTCTGAGTAGAACTATACTCCTTAGAGTTTTCAGTGGCTGATTTTTCAGAAGTTGACTAGCATGCCTTTCTTCTGAAGTGCTTCTGAGTAGATGTCTAAGCTTTCGGTTAGCAGCTGAGCATGTTAACCATTTTTGCCACCACCCTGGAACTCCTATTTCAATTGCATCATGTTTTTGTGAATTACTTATTTAAAAAAAAAAAAAAATCAACAGTTTATGATTTTTAACATGAAGTCGAGCTGGATAAATGACATCAACTTTTACCTAATAATGAAATTTATATTTTCCACAGTAAAAGGAGATATATGAGAATCCCAAATGTGGTCTTCTCAGGAAAAGCTTAATATTGTTATTGAATCGTTAAAAGAAGAAAACTGAGAAATCACTTAGTTACCATCTCCCCTGTGATGCAGAGTAGGTAAGCATAGCCAATAAGAGGGACATTATTACATAGGTCAGTGGCAGAAATCCACTAAGGGCTTGGTCTCTTGGCTATTGGTTTAGGTACATGTTGGGGGCCTGTGCCCATGGGTATAAATAGATCCACCTTCATATCTTTCAGGTGGCTCCTTCTTTGTCACGCTCTGTGCTTCTCCCTGTTGAAAGCTTCAGCCCACACCGTGGAGCTAAATGATATGTTTGGCCATATCCAGTCACCGGGCTATCCGGATTCCTATCCAAGTGATTCTGAAGTGACATGGAATATCACTGTTCCAGAGGGATTTCGGATCAAGCTTTACTTCATGCATTTCGACTTGGAATCCTCCTATCTTTGTGAATATGACTATGTGAAGGTGAGACCCTTAATACTTCCCAACTAGACATGGCTTTCCAATGGTGGTTAAAGATTCTAGAAGAGCTAAACACTGCCCTCCCAGGTTACCAGTCTAATGGGGGAGATACACAAGGTCATACCCTGATCAATGATGGTTAGGGATGGTAGGATTAATGCAGCCTGAGTGGATAGAACTAGAAAAGACCACAGAAGAAACTGAGGTTGGGAGGATCTGACTTAGTCAAATACAATCTTTTCCTTTTTTTTTTTTTAGTTCTTAAAGTCTTTAAGGTTCTCATTGCCTATGCTCAAAGGGCACGTTTTATTGAACACATAGAAGATGACAGGGACCCAGAGTAAACAATAATCAGACAGAAACATAACCATAATCATGTCCAAGTCTGATGTATTAGAAAGTACTGTCTAAATCTGCAAATTATGAGCCATCAAGTGTTGGGGGAGTACAGGGTATGCAGTAGTAGAGAATAGAAGGTACATTTGGAAGGGTAGACTGGGGTGATTCTGAAGGACGTTGGATGTCATGCTACAGAGTTTGGATTTTGTTAGCAAAGGGCATGGATGGAATAGGATATCACTATCAGAAGGTGTTATTATTAGATGCCATCAAGTTGGTTTTGACTCTTAGCGACCCTATGCACAATCAAATGAAACACTGCCTGATCCCGAGCCACCCTCACAATTGTTCTTATGTTTGAGCCCATTGCTGCTGCCACTACATCAATCTATCTTGCTGAAGGTCTTCCTCTTGTTCGCTGACTCTTCACTTTACCATGCAAGATGTCATTCTCCTGGGACTGATCCCTTCTGGCAACATGTCCAAAGAATGAGAGACATCCTTGCTTCTAAGGAGCACTCTGGTTGCATTTCTTCCAAGACAAATTTGTTTTGTTCTTTAGTCCATTGTGCTTTCTAATATTCATTGCCAACATCATAATTCCAATGCATCAATTCTTCTATGATCTTCCTTATTCATTTTCCAGCTTTCACATGCATATGACACAATTGAAAAAGCCCAAGTTTGAGTCAGGTGCATCTTGGTCCTCAAACATTATCTCTCAGTTTGTCATACTTGTGTGTTCCTGTGATGCTGGAAGCTATTACAAGTGGATGTGAAAAAATATATGGAAAGAGGAATATATATATATATATATATATATATATATAGAGAGAGAGAGAGAGAGAGAGAGAGATCTTAGTAAGAACCCACCCAAAATTCCACGAGTGGGAATCTGTTCTCTTTTTAAAGTGCAGCTGACAAAAGATAGAGTATTTCTCAGAGACTAAATAAAATTTAAGGTCATATCGTATACAAAAGACATGGAGACTTAAAAACTTACTTTCTCAGCTTTCTATAGCTTAATGAAAGAGGTTCTCATCAGACAATTCTAGAGTAGGCTTCATGTGTTTTTAGTATAAAGCCTCATTTTTTTTCCACTTTCAACAAGAGTCAATCTTGTATTAATCAAATTATTTGATCAGCAGCAAGTTAATGAGTTTATAAGGTGTTTTTAGACTTATAATCTTATTCAACCTTTAAAATAATCCTGTGATACAGGTACTACTATCTTATTTCATAGGCAAGTATACCAATTTAGGAAGTTTTAGCAACTCACTCAATGTAGTACAGCTTATATGTGATTGATCAAAGTTCCGCACCTATGTGTCTTAGTTTTCTTGTGCTGCTATACCAGAAATTCTACAAGTGAGTGGCTTTAACAAGCAGAAATGTATTTTCTCACAGTTATGGAGATTAGAAGTCCAAAATCAGAGTACCAACTCCAGGGGAAGGTTTTCTCTCCACTCAGGAGGAGCATCCTCGTCTCTTTGAACTTCTGCTCCTGGAAAATCTACAGCTTTGCATCTCTCTCCCCCCATTTCTGATCACTTGCTTGCTTGTTGAATTTTTTATATCTCAAAAGAGACTGACTCAAAACACACCCTATACTAATCCTATCAAATAAGATAACAAAGACAACCCATTCTCAAATGGGGTGATAAACACAAACATAGAGGATTTACAACACATATTTTGAGGGGACACAATTCAATCTATAACATTATGCCTTGTGACTTTGAAATCCATTACACACAAAAAACTTACAAGCTGTGCTCCACTGAGCCCCATGATACTGCAGCACTCAAAGGGGCCATGCTATTGTTATTTTTGTTAAGTGTGTTTGAGTTGTTTCTGACTCATAGCAACCCTGTATAAGATTTCCAAGGATTGGCTGGTGGGTTTAGAAGGGGGGAAAAGAGGTCCTATAAATGTGTTATACCCCAGCAAACAGGCACCACTACATGGAGGCCAAATTGAAGCAGAGAGCTTTTATTCCTGTGCAGGGGCTGTGCCACTTGAGAAGTGGTCGCAGCCCCAAGGTCTTACAGCAAGGGGTTTATATAGTGGAGTTGGGATGAGATGGAATTTTACCAAAGGGGGCTAAGCAAGCAAGCTATTTACAGAAGCAAAATGTAGCGGTTATCATAGCTTAGCATATGTTGCTTTTCAGGGCCGGCCTGAAGCCTTTCCCAACTTTTCCCAGCTTATCTGCACATAATCACTTGTAACCTTTTCCTGCTGAGCGCCCCCTAGATGCCCAAGCGTTTGGTATTTTTTAGTTAGGGTCTCACAAATGGGGCTTTGTACCCCATTGTTGTTGTTAGGTGCCAAGGAGTTGGTACCGACTCATAGTGACCCTATGCACAACAGACGAAACACTGTCTGGTCCCGAGCCAATCTCATAATTGTTACCATGCTTGAGCCCATTGATGTACACTGGTTAAATTCATTTTGCATTGTATATATTGTATTCCCTGGTAGCATAATCGGGTCATGAACAGGGCTGCTAACAGTAAGGGCAGTAGCTCAAATCTACCAGGTGTTCTGAGGAACAAAAATGAGGCTTTCTGTTCCCATAAAGATTTACAGTCTCAGAAACCCTACACAGGGTCACGAAGAGTTGAAACCAACTCTACGGCACACAACCACTACCTCCCTATTGGGTTTCTGGTGTTAAAAACTTTCCAAAATGAATGCTCTGTGGCAGGATCTCTCCATTTCAGCACTATTGACATTTTGAGTCAGATATTTCTTTGTTAAAGGGAGCGTTCTTAAGCATTGTGGGATGGTTAGCAGAAAATGTGACTTGTACCTACTAGATGCCAGTAACAGTTTCTCCCTGCCCCCAGTTAGGACAACCAAAAGTATCTTCAGACATTGCAAAATGTTTCCAGAAAAGCAACACTGCCTCAGTAGAAAATAACTTCTGTTATTAAATGTCCTATGCTAGAGAGTATACGAATATGCTTTTACTTGTTGTTGTTAAGTGCCATCGAGTCAGTTCAGACCCATATTGTACAGGGTTTCCGAGGCTGTAAATCTTTATGGGAACGGAATGCCTCATCTTTCTCCGCGGAGCTGCTGGTAGTTTTGAACTGCTGGCCTTAAGGTTCGCAGCTAGGTGCCATAAAATGAATTCCTACTCATAACAATTCTATGTGTAACAGAATGAAACATTTCCCAGTCCTCATCTTCCTCGTCATTGTTGTTATGTTTTAGCCCATGGGGATGTAAAGGTGCAAAGAGCTGGTTCCATACAAAAAGAGGTAAACCTAGGCAAATGATCATTGCATACAATGGAAATGAGCTGTAACGGACAGATAAAGCCAGTCATTTATCCATGACTGATTTCCCTAGGAGCTGATATGGCTTGGTCATCTAGATGGGTGTGCAGTTTCTATCATTTAAAAAAAATTAAAGCCAACTTCTCAGTGGACACAGGGATCAACCAGAGGATACCCAAAGCCCCTAAATGTCCATCATCCTAAACATAAAGATCATTTATGCCTGCTAGGATATAATCTAGCCTCTGTCAGAACCAAAATCCAGGTTAACATTATAGATGTAGGTCATTATGTTTTGCAGAATCCCTCAACCCATCCCCCGCCCCCGCCAAATAATACTAATACTTTTTTGTTAAGTACCATCAAGTTAGTTCCAACTTGTATCAACACTGTATAGGGTATCCAAGGAGTAGCTGGTGAGTTTGAACCACGGACCTTGTGGTTTAAACTGACCTTATGGTCCAGTGCTTTATACTACAGTGCCACACCAGGACTTTAAAATGCTATTAATAAAACCATGTTATTCTTTAACAATTTAGTTGAAGAATAGGATGATAAAAGATAAAATACACATTACCTTAATGTAACATTGGATTTGGACAAGCTAGATGTGAATTTCCTACACAGTTTTTTTTCCTCTGATTCAAATGCATTAATCATCCAGACACTTTGACAATGAAAATGCTTGTTTTTATTGGTAGCTAAGACCTCAGTAGAATTTTCATTTCTTGAGCTGTAACAGTGACTTCTCATTATTTCCTCTTTATACACTGCAAAAAAAATGACTCTCAACTTTGTATGTACTAGGTAATATTTTTTACAAGTTTCCTTTTTATTCAAACAGATACCAAGATTAACCTTGTTAGGACTCCTTTACCAAGATCAACACATCTTGTTGTTTTTGCTAAGTGCCAGTTGAGTCGAATCTGACTCAGAGAGATCCTGAGTAGGATTTCTGAGGAGCATCTGGTGGTTTGAACCACCAACCTTGGGGTCCAAAGCAACCTTGTGGTCTAGTGCTTATCCTACAGTGCCACACCAGGACTCCATGTTGTTGCTGGCTAGTGCTGTCAACTATGGTTTCAACTCATAGTGACACTGTATAGGATTTCCTAGGAGTGGCTAGTGGATTTGAACTACCAGTCATTACAGTTCAAACTGACCTTGCAATCCAGTGCTTATCCAACAGTACCACACCATGACTCCAGGACTCCATAGTAGAGGATTTAAGTCATTCCTTAAATAAATCGAATCTTCTGGCAAAACAGATTAAGAAGCTGACACCAATCACAATTTTTATTGTGTGTGTGTGTGGGAGGAGGGCATAACAAAGTATTTTCAAGGGCAACAATAGCATCAGAGTTAAAGTTCTCTTCT